TGATTAAAACCTTCTAGAGCCTTTCCATTATATTTAGGGGGAGGAAAACCTGTGCAATGGTTTACAAAGCCTCACATGATCAGACTTCCCTGTTCACTCTCTGACTTCATCCCCTTCTATTGCTCCTTCTTTCACAGTACTCTGACTACATTGGCCTCAGGGCCTTTGCAATTTCTGTTTCTTCTGCCTGGAACCTTTTCCCCAGATAGTTACATGGCTTGTTACCTTACTTCATTCAGGTCTCTGCTTAAGTGTCATCTCCTCAGAGAGGCCTTTTCTGACCACCTTATGTAAGGAGGGTGCCCTCCACCCCATTTCTCTCCATTCCCTTACTCTGCTTTGGTTTTCTTCTTAGCCTTTAGCATTATTTGGTTTGATATTTATTTGTTGATAGTCTATTTCCCCTAGTAGAATACGTACAAGCTCCCTGAGGACAGGGACTTTCTGCTTTGAATCATTAATGCTGTTAACAATGCTTGTCACATAGTAGGTGCTCAAAAAATATATGTTGAATGAATGACTATGGGCAAGTGAACCTTGCAGGCTTTATTTTCTTCATCTGAGAAGTGGGGGAAATCATGGTATCTACCTCATAGGGCAGATGTGAATGTCAAATAAGATACTGGGTATAATAAGACATTTGTGGCAATAGTGTTGGCTGTTATTGTAATTACTGTTCAATAATACAAATAATTTAAACCTCTTACAATCAACCAACAAATAGCTAATTAAGGTGGGTTTTGCCTGTTATATGCTTTTTACAGTGGTTGATTTCAGAGGTATAACTTGTGATCCAGTTATTGGTAACTTAGTTGGAGGAAACATATAAGTACATGAAAAGTTAAATGCCATAGACTATTTAAATAACCAATCGAGACAACAGTAGAAATGTTATCAGGCTTAAATAGTTGCCTAATGCATTGCTGATGGTTATTGCTCTAGGTATGAGAAATAAAAGCGTTTTTTTTTTTAAACCAGGGTAGTATGAGGAGGCCTTGTGTAGCACGTGGATTTAGGCTATGCCTTGAAACACTGCGCACGATTTTAATCCTTTATTGGCCATGAGGTGGAAGGGCATCAAAGGTGGGACAGTGGCATAAAGACAAAGTGGGGGAAGAACTAGGGGAGTTGAAAAATGGAATGAATCAGTTTGGCTGGAGGGAGAGGTCTTGTGAGGAAGTTTGAGAGCAACGCAAAGAAAACAAGGTAAGAACAAAAGCAAGTGGCTTCAGGTGACAAGAAGCCCTTCCTTACTAGGAATGGGCAAGCAAGAAAGAAGTGCTTATGGGTAATTAGGAAAGAAGGTAACACATCACAGGCTTCCTGCTGCCAGGTTCACTCCCTTCTCCCGCACAGTGCAGGTGGCTCAGGGCATTACTCTCTGCTGCACAGATAGTGGACAGGCATGCTGAGTCCATGTGTCCATGTGTCCAAGGAGAAGCAGACACAGGAGGGCACTGCTCTTCTGTCCCCTGGGCCTGGAAGCCAATTTTGAACTCTTTTCATCCACAGGAATTCTCACTCTAGGTGGCTGTGACGAGAAGGCAAGGGACAATTTTCACTATGGCTTCTTACTTTAAAAAAAAGAAGGAAGAGAATAGAGAAACTTAGAAATTAAAGGCCAACCAATAAACATAATAATTTACATTTTAATATGCGTATTAAGAAATACTCAACTTTTTTTCGGAAGAACGTGAAAGAAAGCAGAATATGTCACCCTAAAATATGCTACTTTGGCATATTGATTATTTTGAATTAAAGTTACTTAAGAAACAGCCAGTGCAAGAAGGATACTCTCATCTCCTTTGTCTCCTTGAGAGCAGGAAATAACTCTCCCATGTGAAAGGGATCCTCCCTATACCAGGAGGGTAGAAGGCATCCTTATTGCCAGAGACAGGGAATTCAGGGCCAAGAAGGCTATATAAACAAATCTTGTTACTTCTTCATTAATTTGCTACCCCAAGCCCAAACCCGTATGTTTTGTCAATTTTTCACAAACTTATTGTTTCTTTTGTCTAAAAGGCATAAAAGCTGCCTGCTTCGGTCACTTCTTTGAATCTCATATTTTTACCGGCTCTCGTATGTACAAAATTAAATGTATATTTCTCCTGTTAATCTGTCTATGTCAATTTAATTATTAGACCAGCCAAAGAACCTAAAGGGAAGAAGGGAAAAGTTTTCTTCCCCCACAAGGATATTAGGTGAGTCATGTATAGCCACATTCTCATTATCATGTAAAAGGAAACACACATTATATGAGAAGAGGCCACAGTAACCTGTGAACAGATCAGATTTTTGAAAAAAAATATCTAGCCAACCACGAGATAAAACTTGCTTTAATGATATAATTTTGTGTAAATTTGAAGCAATCTAAAAGAGTGTCCTTGTGTCCCTTCAGTTTTTTGTTATCAAGAAGTTAAAAAATAAATGTTACCTTTTGCTGCGTTAGAATAGATGTCAGAGCAATTTGTAGTAGTTAAGAAAATGACCCTGTAAGAGAATCAAAATAAAACAAAAAAGATAAAATATAGATATGAGCCATGACAGATGTGGCAGAACAGGGAATGGATGTGAAGACAATAAACCACGTTGTCGTTCACAGAGCCCTGGCAACACGGCTCTGACACATTAAATAATGAACGCCTGTCGGTGGGCACAGCCAGGAGAGAACAGAGAGCGCATTGTTTCAGCCTGTTTATCTAATTTCAAACTAATGGCTTAACTATAGGCTTCTGTTCTGATTATAGCCAAAGGAAAATCAAACAGTTGGAATACTGTAAGTCCTGTAATTCACCCCGTTTAAGAATCAGAACTAAATAAGAGAATTTTGAGCAAAGCATCCAAATAAATTGTTAGTCCTCCCTGCAAACGGAAGCCTGAAGAGAAGAAGGATCTACTCGTCAGGTTCTGCACTCACTCTTCTGTCCTCTCCTGATCAGGTTCTAGCTAATGTGATATGTGGGCTCGGCCGGTCGTCGTCGTCGCCTCTTCTGTGCTCAGGACTATGGCTCGGCTCCATAGAGGGGTGTGAGGGGGTGGCAGATGCCAGGTTCCACGCCTGGGACTGGCCCGGGGAGTGGTGTCTTCTCGGACAGCGGCTTCTCTGAGGTTTCAGGCAGGTTGGCGTCACCTGCCTTTTCCTACTCTGGGTCTTTGTGATGAGCTAGTGAGCTGATAACCTATGAAAGCACTTTGTTGACACAAATGAAGGGGTTCTGTGGTTGGTGGAGGAAAGAACACAAATCAGAAGTCCTGGGTTTGAATCCAGGTCATCTCATACACGGTCTCCCCTTTTCTGTATTCCTTTATTTAAGTGTCTTCCTGTGTTTTTCTCCCCCCTCCCCTTAAATCAGATGTTCTTTGGTTTTTTGTGTGTGTGCATGGACCCCCTTTGGCATTCTAGTGACGCTAATGAATCCCTTTTCAGAATAATGTTTAATGCATTAAGTTAACTGCATAAATTTAAACGAATAAAATTAGAGGTTCTAGCTCTTTTTGCCGTAAACATCTTTGCCGTAAAGCAGTCTCATTGCACAACTAATTGGTCGTAAGGCAATTTTGCCGTCAAAGATAAAATAACTAGGCGACAGTTTGGTTTCGACTACGTTATAGCAACTTGATAGAAAATACGGTGAAAAGAAAACTTACTGAAGTGTGAAATAAGAAAGTGTAAAGCCAGACTGTATACTATACCAGAAAATAGCATAACAGTTTGCAAATCCTTCGATGAGTACAGTCATCCCTCTATCCCGTCAGAGCAAGTTTACCAAACTATGACAAATATAAAAGAGGCAGCTAGTAATACATGACAGTCTAAGCATTAATTATCAGTTCTTTAGCTCATTTAGATACAACAGCTTGTTTTGTAATGCCATCTTTACCAAGTTTGTCACGCAGTATTAGAAGTTGGAGGCAAAGGAAGAATCAAGCTTCTCATCTCCTAGAAAGAAATTGGTTACATGATTCTTGATAAGTTTTATGAAAATGGTGAAATTTTTTTGCTCTTTGATAGTGGAGAACATGATGTAGACAAAATTTTCGTATTTGGCATAGAAACTGGCTTAGATGATTTGGTGAAATATAAGGACTGTCATGGAACATATAAATGCGGTACAGATATGTACTACTTTACATATACGTTTATATACGTGACATAGATAAATAGCAGCATACCTTGTCTGTTCGGTTTACTTCCAGGGAAACCTGAAGAGCCTTACAGCAGACTGTTTTTTAAACCATGAAGAACTTATGTTCAACACGAGATCCTGAATCCTTAATGACTGACTTTGAGAAAGGACGTATCATTGCTTTCACTAAGAAGATATTTTAAAAATTTTGTTATTAGTTTTTCATGTTTTGTTATGTCCTTTTTAATGTCCCTATTTTAGTTTCATTATTTCATCTTTTACGGCAAAATTGTCTTATGGCCAATTAGCTATGCAGCAGAACTGCTTGCAGTAAAGATTCTTACAGCGAAAATATCAGACATGAAAATTAGTATGCATAGGGTTACCAAGGAAACCGATTAAACTGATATACAGTTATACCAAAAAAGTAATAATATAATAATATCCACCCCTTATTAACACACTACCTACCAAGAGCTAGTGGCAGATTTAATAACTACTGTAATTTTGGGGTAGTAATGAGCGGAAACGATACTTTGAGATACTTGCAATACTGTACTGTGATATGAAGATGTCTTTGATTTCTACTTGTGACAAGTCACAGTTACACCTAATTTTACCGTGAATTATTGCCTACATTTGTAATTGAAGGGGATGCTAAATTTCAGTTAAAGGTGAGTAAAAATTAAAACAAAAAATTTCCCGGGCTTCCCTGGTGGCGCAGTGGTTGAGAGTCCACCTGCCGATGCAGGGGACACGGGTTCATGCCCCGGTCCGGGAAGATCCCACATGCCACGGAGCGGCTGGGCCCGTGAGCCGTGGCCGCTGAGCCTGCGCATCCGGAGCCTGTGCTCCGCAACGCGAGAGGCCACAACAGTGAGAGGCCCGCGTACCGCAAAAAAAAAAAAAAAAAAAAATTTCCCTACCCATGTCCTGAATTCTCTCTGAAATCCTCAGATACCTCTTGCCTTGAAACTTCACCCTTTCCTCTTACGCTGTGTGCCCCACTGCTGCCCTCCAGCTGCTGTCACCCTAGATGTGTGCCTCCCGTCCATGCAGGGGACAGGAGCGCCAGACCTGTATCTCCTGCAGCCCACTGCACATCCACCCTGGACGACCCACAGGACTTTGCACTCGGCCTTGGTCTCCAAAAGCCAACTCCTCGGCTTGTCTATCCCACCCCTGCTCCTCCCGCCAGCCTGCTCTTCCTCCTGTGTTCCCTGTTCTGTTGGTAGCATTAACAACTTCCACGTGGCTCAGGCCCCAGACCTAGCTTGAGCAAGTAAGTGAGCGCTGCTGTGGCCAGGGTTACCGCCCTAGCCTCCTTGATAATGTTTATGGAAGTGTAGACTTGTACATTTTAAAGCGCTGGTCTGCCCTTTTCTTTACCTGCAACGTCTTCTAAATTCCTGCGTACCCTACAGGGCTTAGTTCCTTCTTTCTTCTCTTTCCAACATGTACACACTGTGGTTTAAAACGTCTTGGTCATGTCTCTTTACCTCCATGATGTGACATCAGAGGACTCCCGCCTCCCTCACAAAGTTTTCTTCTGTTGGTCCCCCAGCCTCACCAAGCTCCCTATGATCCCTCCAGCGGCCCACTCCTCACTTCCCCCTTTTCCTTGGCAGACAGAGTGAGTGCCTTCTGCCTGGGGATTCCTTACCTGCCTCATGGCCTCCAGGTCTCAGTTCTGCGGCTGCTTGGCTGGACAGCCTTTCCCAGCCTGTGCCGTTATGAGGACTGTCCATAGAGCAGTTCTTGTCCAACCAACTCCTGCTCCCTTGCATTTGAGCAGAGTCTGGCAGGGTTTCACCAGTGGTGTGCACCCGGGAGGACAGCATTATCAAAGTATGTGGTTAGCGGCGCTGACTTCAGAGCCAAATGACCTGGGTTCTAATCCCAGCTCCGCCACTAGCTGTTGGCAAGATACCCTTTAGATGCCTCAGTTTTCTCATCTGTGAAACTGGCATAATTATGGATTTGTGTGATATAAATGAATTAATCTCCTGAAGCCCTTTAGAACCATGCCTGGCTTATACTGAGAGCTTAAATATCAGCTATTGTTATTAGTTTTAGTTTCAGTAATGTGGCTTGGGCTCGTTTAAAAGTCACATCCTACTATACTTTTATTTTTGCTGGAGTTTTATTAGAGACTGTTGTGTAATTCGAAACCCAATATTTAACTCTTCTTCATCTCCATTGAGGTTGATATCAGAACGTTGATTTTAGCAGAAATAATTTATGTGAGGCAAAAGGAAATACTTTTTGAAAGAAAGGTAGGAGGACTCCTGGGGATACAGCCTCTTAACAGAATGATGGAGACACGGTCCCACCAGCAGTTAGCTAGTTGAGTTGGGGATTTATCCATGGTTCTTCCATTTCAGAGATTATGTTGATCTCACAGGAATTTTTCTTGCAGCCCTTTGGGTAGGAGAGAGATCAATATTATTTATCAGAGGATTTCTCTGGGAATGCATATCATCATATATGCTTGCAAACCAATCCACATAAAAAGATGATTTTGAATGTAATTACTTTTTTTTTGCATGAGTGTTTTCATATCCTCTATAAATATTGTGCTCTGAGGGAAGAAACTTTTCATGATTCCTACCACACATTGTGACATTAATGTGCTCTTATAACTGATCCTTTTCTTCCCTTTTTCTTTCAACATTGAAGCAGTATTTCCCCTGAGGTTTAACTGTTTCAGCCTTTTCTACGTTTTGCCACCAGGTGGGGCACTGGCTCCTTTGTAAGGCATGGGCCAGGGCTTGAGGCTGGTTTTCTCACTGAGGTGGCTGTCTTGCCCCGTCATTCTGAAGTGACCCCTGGAGAAGCTATTCAGCCCTGACCCTGGGAGTGCGTAGAAGAGGCCAGCAGGGTGAGTGTTAGATCTGAGGGAGTTTCAGGGCTTTTCATGCCTGATCTTGTTGAGCTAATATGCTAATGACTTCTGTTTCATAGGTTTTGAGTAACTTGAATTTTACCGGAAATACATGTAAATCTACTTGGCGACAAGTGAATCAAGTTTTCCTCGGAATATTTTTTGTTTGTTTGTTTGTTTTTTGCGGTACGCGGGCCTCTCACTGTTGTGGTATCTCCCGTTGCGGGGCTCAGGCTCCAGACGCGCAGGCTCAGCGGCCATGGCTTACGGGCCTAGCCACTCCGCGGCATGTGGGATCCTCCCAGACCGGGGCACGAACCAGTGTCCCCTGTATTGGTAGGCGGACTCTCAACCACTGCGCCACCAGGGAAGCCCCTTCCTCGGAATATTTGGTCCCATTTTTATGGCTCAGAAGAAACATTAAATTTGGTAACCTTGACCATTATGTTAAATAGGTCTTATTTAAATAAGATAGAAATCATGGAAACAAGAATTAAAACTGCTCTTGGCATTGAAAATTAGGGGAAGATTGTGTATAACTGTGAACACTTCATGTTAAAAAGCAGCGCGTGGATTTTTATTCTTTTTTTTTTTTTTTTTTTTTGCGGTACGCGGGCCTCTCCCGCTGCGGAGCACAGGCTCCGGACGCGCAGGCTCAGCGGCCATGGCTCACGGGCCCAGCCGCTCCGCGGCATGTGGGATCCTCCCGGACCGGGACACGAACCCCTGTCCCCTGCATCGGCAGGCGGACTCTCAACCACTGCACCACCAGGGAAGCCCGGATTTTTCTTCTTAAGCGATGTACTGGAACATTATTTTTTTTAAGATATAAATGCTTTAAATTATCAATTAAGTTTTTCTAGAATGAAAAATAAATTTCTTACTTTGAAACCATTGTGAGTCATAAGTCCCAGTTTAAACTATAAAAAACTACAAAACCACCAAAAAACTTTTTTTATTTTATAATATAACCTAACTGTAGATGGTGAATTTGAATTATGAGTGATTTTCACAGTTACAGACACTAAGTTAGAATCAGAAGTTAGAAAATGCTTTCATAAGTTTTCCTCTTGAACCTAATTGTTAGACTTTAGTGATTAATGAGGTTTTATGCTTATTTAATGTATTTTAAAAATCTAGAAATAGTGGTAGTATGTGCCTTTGGTTCTCAGAAGCAATAACTTCATGTGGTCCCTCTTAGGCAATGTGAAATTATAGTGCTATATGTTCCATCACCACCACCACCAATTTAGGCAACAATATAAAACTCATTTCATGGCACTAGTGGAGGGCAGACTGTATTCCTCTTGTTTAAAATGAATGAGTCACTTTAATACAGCATCTGAGGGGCAAGAAGGGAATGAGAGTGCTCTTTGTTTCAGCTGGTGTGTTACAGTTTTCTTGGGTAGCAAGTACAAAGATGAAGCCTGAAGCCTTAGCTCATTCTGTATGTGAGTTTTATTTCTCACAGCAGCCCAGTGTCTATTTAACATATGGGAGTGGTTTCAAGTTCATTACTAAAGCTTATAGGCTAAAGTGCTTTGTGGGCTTGGCTATGACTTAAGTGGCCTTTGGGGAGTTGGCCAAAAACGGGGCTTGGGAACACACTGCTTTCCCCGTGTCTGTGGATTCTCGGGGTAGTCAGTTATTTTTTCCCCTGTCGGCTATCAGCTGCTTTGGAGATTAGTTTCATAGTAAGGATTCTTTCTTTCAAGCAATATGAAGCGACTACTTTCACAGGGGCACCAGGTTAGTAAATAAGGTTTTGAACTTTCTGCTGCATGTGTCAGATTTTCTTTCTGTCCTCCCGGGGCGATGACATGACAGTCAGCATAGCATTTGTGCTGTTGCTGCGTTCTTTTAGAAAATAATGTGAGTTCGTCGATCCCACGGAGGTCTGGGGGTTATGGTTCTCCTTGTAATGTATGCATTGCTGGACAATATTAAATGCAGGTGGAAGCCAAGAAGAAATGACATTTATGTGTTGGATGTGCAGTCTAGAGGTTTGTACCTGTTCACATGCATTTTCAATTCCTTTTTCAGAATTCCTTTCTTTGTGTCTTCCCATTATATTTTCTAGGAATAACTATGATTTTATACATGGTTGATTTTACTTTGTGGAACGGGAGACAGCAGTGTGTAGTGCCCCAGCCAGTGGTGTCGTCCTTCACACCCTGTGCGTGCTTGCCTGATGCATTGTTTTCTCTGGGGCCTACCGCTTATAGTTACAAGGAACCAGAATATGATTTTAATTTTCTTTTTGAAAAGTCTGACATTTTCCTAGAATGCCTCAGAAAACACCTGCATAGCAGTTGACGTGGGCAGAGTGTAGGTGGATCAAGCTGGACTGAATCTCTTCCTTAGTGATCACTGTTTTTATTCTTAAGTGATTCCTCTAGGAATAAATATGACTGTCGAAACGGTGTGCCTTGTAAGACAATGAAAGGATCGCTAACAGTATTGAAATGAAATTAAGTCAATAGAGCGAAGTATCAAGAGAATATCTTCCTTAACGTCATTAACTTAGACATCTAGAGAGCGATATTACCTTTGTTTACTTGTCACCAAAGCAATCCAGCATGAAGTTGTTTCATAAGAGTACGTAGTTTGATTTGATGGTGTTTTCAAGTTTGCAACACTTTATGAAATATATTGGCTTTTATGTTACTTTATGTATGCTTTAGTTTGAGGTAAGCGCTGGTGGGTTTTTTTTTAATAAATGTATTTGTTTGTTTTTGGCTGCATTGGGGTCTTTGTTGCTGTGCGTGGGCCTTCTCCAGTTGCGGTGCATGGGCTTCTCATTGCGGTGGCTTCTCTTGTTGTGGATCACAGGCTCTAGGCGCCTGGGCTTCAGTAGTTGTGGCTCGCAGGCTCAGTAGTCATGGTTCACGGGCTGTAGAGCGCAGGCTCAGTATTTGTGACGCACGGGCTTAGTTGCTCCGCGGCATGTGGGATCTTCCCAGACCAGGGCTCGAACCTGTGTCCCCTGCTCTGGCAGGCGGATTCTTAACCACTGTGCCACCAGGGAAGTCCCAGTATGGGTGTTTTAAAATATGCTAATATGCTTCTGTTATTGCCATTTGAGTCTCCTCTTTTTTCCCCCGCTGGGAAATACAGTGTTTCAGAAAGGGTCTGTTCTCTCAGGTTCTCCTGTGTTTAAAAATATAAAATTGAGGGAGAAGGGAGACAGAAGTAGGTACTTAAAGAAATCTTTGAGGTGATTTGCTAAAGTTTAAAGATCCCAGTCCTATCTCTGCTGAGGCTGAAGTTGCAAAGTTATGGCTGCATGCTATCTCAGGATTGCAAAGTTGACTGTACTTTATCCCCCTCAAGACACAATTGTACAGCTGTATTATTACCCCTGCCTCTGCAGATATTTTCTTCAACAGTAAATCCAAAAAAAAAAAGAGCAGAGATTGCTATGACTTGCTTAATATATGCTAGTACTGCATATGTGGCATTATTAATTATTAAATGCTATTAACTTAAAATTTTAAAGAAGACTTCTGTAAATCTGATTGTAGCTCCTCAATGATTTAAAGGACTGTGTTAAGACATTTTACTTGTTGATTACCTGTTTGCTCTTAGCTGGCATGGATAAGTCTTAAAAAGCTCACGTAAAGCTCATTTAGATCTGGTAAGTCTCAGTTTCTGTGTTCCCAAGTGCTTCGCAGCCTTTTCTTCTACAGATGATAACAGAACAGTACTGATTAGAAACAGAAATAAATAAAATCTTACTCTAGCAAAGGCTAGAGTAAGAGGGGAAACTCCTTAAAAACCAGATTTTAGGGTTTTCCCAAAGGATATTCATTACAATAAGCTTCCTCCAAACATGAGGGGAAAAAAAAAGACTGTACAATAGAGTGCTCAAAATCTGTAATTTGGGATGGAGGCAAATCTTATTCCTGATTCCAGGCTTGGCACACACATTGCAGTTTTGTTCTCATCTTGCCAGACTGGTTTAGTTTTGTGACATCTCTGCTTTTTGGCTAAAATCAAGTAGAGACAGACATTTTTCCCGTTTCATATCAGGTTAAGCTTTGAGCCGATTAACTTTTATCCAACATGCTTTCTTGTTAACAGTCAAAAGTACCCTTGATGCCTCATAAATCTCAGATGGTTATGAACGTAGTTGATGATCCATTATTTCAACATGCATTGGCCCACACTCGAAACATCAGGAAGGTTAAATGTCAGTAGAAGGTAAGGACTTAGAGGAAAGAAATGAATAACCAGGAGGAATCATGATGTCAGGAGTGGGTTTTCTGACTGCTGAACCTTTATGATAAATGTTCACCTGTTGTCTGGTTCCATTCACACCCCAGATCACTCTCATTTCCTGCCCACCGTCTTCATCTTCGAGGTGCCTGTTTGGGGAGCTGTCGGTTCTTGATTTGCAGTTTCTGGCCTTGTCAGAGTCATCTTGTACAGCCACCCCTGCCTTTTTCATGCCTGACCCGCTGAGTTCTTGCTCCTAACCCTGCTCACTGAAGGTGCCGATGTGCAGGGGTCTTGTGTTTACATATCAGAAAGTGGGGCAGAAAGCAAGGGAGACTGTGATGCCGCCCACCACAGAAATGAACTATTTTAATAATGACAGTGCATACTAACTTCCCAGAGGGATTGCAAAGGCTGAGGACAGATTCTACTCCCAGGGCTGATCTGACCATAGACTTCCCCAGTTCCTTGGTTCCTTCTGAAGAAGCCAATTTAAGTTTGCCCTTCTGGCATTTCTGGGGTTGAAGATATTAGTACCTGTGGCAGGAGTAGTAGAGGGAGTGGTAATAGTAATAATAACAACTAACACGCAAAAAGCATTTCCTAAAGGCAGTCTCTGGTCTAAGCCTCTCATGTAATCCTCACAACAACCCTAAGGGGTCAATTGTCTTTATTATCCCCATTTTACAGTTGATGAAACTGTCCCAGGGAAGTTACATAATTTGTCCCAAGTCATAGCAGCTAGTCAGCAGTAATAGTATTGTGCCTCAGAGGAGTGC